GGAACATCTCAAAAGATAATGCTGATATCTACTATCATAATGATAAATGAATTGGTTTCTTTCCTAATCACTTTACTACATGTTTGACCTTCCAATAATTCTGCAATTATCTGGTAATTTGATTTACTCTTTTATTATTCCTCCTCAAATAGTAATAGTAGAGCAGTGTTTGTTTTGTATCCACCGACTTAAAATTCTGAAATTTTGCCTTTGGATCGTTCAAGAAAACGAAGAGATAAGTAATTTCTACTCTGGACACGTAAAATCTTTATTCAGATGATCATAATCCAATTAGCTTTAGTAAATAACCATCATATACACTACTAGAAAATGACTAAATTCCGACCGTCAAAACGGTCGGAAATCAGTCGGAAATCGAGCTTTTTCGACGGATTTCCGACTGAAAACGATTGGTCGGAAAACATATGGTCGCAAACAATTTGCGACCGAAACAGTCAAAAATTTCCGACCGAATTGGTCGCAAAATGGATAATCTGGGACACATTGAATTTTTAGGGAGTTGCGACTGATTTGGTCGATAATTTTCCGACCGAATCGGTTGCAAATTTGAATAATAAAATAATTAAGTTTTTCGACCGATTCGGTCGGAAAATTAAATAGGAAATAAATAAATTTTCCGACCGAAACGGTCGAAAAATTTAATTATTTATTTATTTTATTATTCAAATTTGCGACCGAATCGATCGCAAATCTGAATATTTTCAGGTAATAATTGCTACTACTACTTGTTTTCGAATCTAAAAATTTTCGGATAATATTCAGCATATATAGTCACATAAAGAACAAAAAGAGAAACCATAAAGAATAAAACCAAATCAAGAGTAATTTGAAGAAAAAAGTGCAATTGACTCAAATGGGAAACTCTTGGAGTAAAACGGTAGTACAAGATGTGAAATATCAGCATACGTTGCTCTAGTGTTTCTTTAAAATTTAACAATAGAGAAACAAAGTGCTATCCACAGGCCACAGGTGGATCTACATTAGGAATAATTCAAATATAGTTGCTACCTGAGGTTTAACTACAAGAAAAATATTTCAATTATGAACAAATATCTTTCATGTTAGAGGTAAAAGAAAATATGAAAATGAATATAAAACACGCCAAGCCATTTTTGTCATGTACAACCAACAACCTCAAGGATTCTAGAGCTTCCCCCGAACTGCAAAAAAAAAATGTTTGGAATTTAAGTGAAAAGAGGGGAAATAGAGAGAGAAATAGATAGATAGATAGAGAGAGAGAAGTGGACTGATCGGAGGGGGAGCCGGTGAGAAAGAGAGAAGCGACGCTGGTAAGGTGGAGAAGACAACGATTGTGAAGAGGAGGGGAAAAGAGAAGAAAAGAAAGAGAGAAGAGAAAGAAAAAAGGGATGTTGGGCGGGGTTATAAAAAAGAATTCCGACCGAAACGGTCGGAACTTTATTTCAATTTTTTAAAATTTTAAAAATGCGACTGAATCGATCGCAAACTGGGTCAAACTAATTAGACCTCGTAAATGACACATTTTGCGACCGATTCAGTCGCAAACAAAAAAATAATTATTTTTTTATTTTGCGATTGAAACAGTCGAAACTTTATTTCAAAATTTTAAAATTTTGAAAGTGCGACCGATTCGGTCGCAAACTGGGTCAAACTACTCAAATCTCGTAAATGACATATTTTGCGACCGATTCGATCACAAAAAAAAATTATTTTATTTTATGACCGAAATGGTCGGAAATCGCGAAAATATATTTTGTGGTATTTTACGCCAAAGTTTTCGACAAATACGGTCAGAATGTTTGCCATAATATTATTTTAAAAAATTAATTTTTTTCTTCACAAGTTGCGATTGAATCAGTCGGAATAAATAGACGTTTTTTAGTAGTTATATCAATTAACTAGTTGAAGTCTGCCTTTTCGCCAATCTTAATCCTTTACTAACGTGGGAAAAAAAATTTCAACATGGCACACTGCATATGGAGCGAGTATAGGAATTTGAAAGAAAAATTCAACATGACCAACGGATATGGTGGGATGGATGTGATTCCTCCACCCTTAACCAAAGTACTGCGGTTAGAGTTTTGAAAATGGTAAAAAAATTATAGAGAGCGCTTCCCATTTAATCTGCCCTATAAAATGAAAATTTTGATCAGTTTCGTCAATGAGTTAGAAATATGATATGGTTATAACCAAAAAAACAAAAATTGAGCGCCAAGAAATTGAGACACAGTTGTGTGTTAGGATTTTGCCCTAAATTTTTAATCTATTAGGACTTTCTTTTTTGAAGGAAGGGGGAAAATCCTATAAAGAAGTAAATTCCCTTCGTATGCCATATCATTTTCTTGGAGGAAAAGTCTTGGATATCAATAAATTGAGGATCTCTGCTTTCACAACAACGATAACAACATCGTAGTCTTTTAGAGAGTTTTGATTAGGGGAGATTATTCTCTCAAAAATTTTATTATCTTTTTATATTATGATAAATCATATGTAGGTCGATTGACCAAATCATTATAAATTAGTATGCGTAGTTTAATCACTATTAATAAAACGGCCCATTTCTGACCGAAATATTCCGACCGAAAAAAGTAATTGGATATTTCCGATAGAATCGGTCGGAAATGGCATAAAAAATATTTTTCAATTTTTATTAATGTTTACGGCGAATATTCCGTCTACATCCGTCGCAAATTTTGGCGAAAAATATCGCAAAGGCATTTGCGACCGATTCGGTCGGAAAAATTAAAAATAAAATAAAATTAAAAAAAAAAGATTGCGACCGATTCGGTCGCAAAAATTTATTTTGACTTCGTTGACCTCATTTGCGACTAAATTAGTCGAAATATTTTTATTTTTTAAAATTTTCAACCGAATCAGTTAGAAATAGTTTTTAAAACCCCCAACCCCTTTCTTTTTTCTTTATCTCTTTTCTTCTTTCTCTCTTTTCTTTTTCTCCTCGTTGGAAACCCCCTCCCCTAGGCATCAAGATGCTCCGGCGACACCTCTCTCGATCCCCTCGAGCGGTTAGTTTTTCCATCTCCCTCGATTTTTTCTTCTTTGTTTCCATTTTTTGCTAAGCCTCATAGAGAAAAACACATTGTTTGCTGAAATTGGTGTTTGTAATTTTCGTTTTTTCACAGTATCTTTGTTATCAAAACTCGAAAAGTCACAAAGAATGTATAGTGGAACAAGTTTGGGATGATTTACTAAGAAAGAAGAGAGTAAATTAGTATGCACTTTTTGATTTTTTTTGTGCAACTAATTGTTATTCTTATTATGCTTTTATTATACTTTTCATATTAATTTGGTAGTTGAATCTAGGTTTTAGATTATTGTCGAAGAATTTGATTGAATCTATGTTTGAGATTATTGGTTGTTTTATTTGGTAGATGGTATAGTTAAAAATACAGCAGAATTCTGCTAAATATTTTTCAGATATGGAGCGGATTTGCGACTGAATCAGTCACAAAAATTTTCCAGATTTGCGACCGATTCGGTCGCAAATTATGATTTTTTGATTTTTTTAAAATTTATTTATTCTCAAATTTTACGATTGAATCGATTGAAAATTTAAATTATGTATTTATTTTATTATTTAAATTTGCGACCGAATCGGTCGAAAATTTACCGACCAATTCAGTCGCAAATCTCTTATATTTAAGCGCGCCCTTATTTTTCAATTTGCGACCAAATTGGTCGGAAATTTCTAGCCGATTTGGTCGCAAATTATTTGCCATCATGTGTTTTTCGACCGACCTTTTTCAGTCGGTAATTCATCGGAAAAGCTTGATATCCGACCGATTTGACGGTCGAAAATTTGCCATTTTCTAGTAGTGTTTAGTATATATTTCTTTATCGTCTTATTTATGTCTCCAAGGTTTGTGCTTTGTTAGCTTTTGCATGCACTATGTTATTTCGAATCCAATAGTGGTATTAGAGCCAACAATTGAATGAGGTTGAAGACAGATTCAAGGCGGGTTCAGACCAAAATGTAACCAATTTGACATTTTTATCCCCAAAAAAAAACTGTTCGGAGTACTGCATGTGGAGAATAAATTTTCAACTATAATTTCAATATTATTGTTGCTGCATTTTTATAGAAATAAAGCCTCATTTTTAATCCATGTTTGGGCCACTTATAACCAATACCAATTTTAAGTCATGCCCACTTGTAACGCATGAGCTTCAATGCCAGTTTTAACTCATGCTTATTTTAGCGCATGTGCTCTTTTTAACCAATTCTTGGGCTTCTTTCAACCAATATCAAGATATTTCGACCTACACTTATTTTTAATCATGGCAAACAACAGTGATGAAGATTATGTGATTATGTCAAGAAAATCCAGGCCCAGAGGAGAATTGCTATGATTTTGCCTTGAATTTCTCATCTATTTGAACTCTCTTTCTTGAAGGAAGGGGAAAAATATCCTAAAATGAATAAATTTCCTTCATATGTCTTATCCTTTTCTTGAAGGAAAAGTCTTGGATATCTATATATTGAAGATCTCTGCTTCCCACAATAATAATAATAACAACATCCACAATGCACTCTTTTAGAGAGTTTTGTTTAGGGGAGACTATTCTCTCAAAAAATTATTGTCTTTTTATATTAGTGATAAATCATATGTGGATCATTGACCAAATCATTATAAATTATTACGCCTAGTTTAGTATAGATTTTTTTATCGTCTTATTTATGTGTTCAAGATTCACTTTATTAGCTATGTTATTTCAATCCCATTATTAATCATTTAATTGTATCTGACATGAAAGTGAAACCACCTGAAGATTAGCGTTTTGCATCAAAATTAAGTGGATAGTGGAAGTCCAGTAACATCTTCCACCAATATATAGAACCAACATATCTAGTATAGTAAAATAGAATTTCTTCAAACTTATGCTTTTCCTTTTGTATGCATCTCGTTCCCTCTCTCTATCCTATTATATACCCATAAATTAAAGCGTTTTTAAATGGAGCATTTACATTGAACAAATTCTTCCATATAAAATACACAAGCTAACCAATTTTCCTACCACAAATTTTTCTTTTTTCTTTTATTTTGATATTGATTGATCAGCTTCCACCCACAAATTTGGATAGATGTAGACAGCATTACCTCTCTTTCTTAAGCAAAACCCATAGTATTTATATAGAGGAACACTAATTAAGCAGTTGAGGACACCAACCTTAAATACTTGCATAGATTATATTATATTTATCATCCTTCATATATATTTTGCTCTCCAAACTATCTCTTTTGGGCTCCAAAGAAATGGGTGATATGTTGCGTTTGGCAGTAGGAGTAATGGGTAAACCACACTTTCATTTAACTCCACTTTTCTTTTCGATATCTTGGAATAATTTGGATATATAGTAATTACTCATAACTAGTATTACATGATATATAAACGTGCATGGTTTTATTTGTCCCAGGGAATGCCGCCTCCATGTTGCTCTATGCTGCACCAATGTAATTACTTTATTAAACCTCTAATTATATTTTAGATCATATACATAATATCGTTTATTATGTATTTAGTCACATTTGTTTTCCTTGTGTTTGGCAGACTTACTTTCTCTAGAGTTATAAAGAAGAAGAATACTGAAGGATTTTCATGCGTACCTTACGTACTGGCGTTGTTCAACTGTTGTCTCTACACTTGGTATGGGTTACCAGTAGTAAGTTATCGATGGGAAAATTTCCCAGTGGTTACTATTAATGGAATAGGGATTCTTTTGGAGATCTCATTCATTCTCATATATTTCTGGTTTTCTTCTGCTAAAGGAAAGGCAAGTTATAATATCTCATCTCAAGTTTCTGTATATTGGCACGTCTTTTTTAAATAAAAAAATTATTATATAGCATAGTGCATTATTAATTAATTAGGTTTTTTCTTAAAAGCAGAAGGAGGTAGCTAAAATGGTGGTGCCTATCATTCTAATATGCGTGGCAACAGGGATTATATCGTCGTTTGTGTTTCATGATCATCGCCGTCGCAAGGTTTTTGTAGGAAGCATTGGATTGGTAGCGTCAGTGGCTATGTATGCTTCCCCTTTAGTTGTTGTGGTAAGTCATTTTTTCACTGACTTGTAATTTCTCGGCATTGACGGTGGATAATTACTATACACTATCAAGTTAACTTATAACAACAAATAACATTTTCATAACAAATCTAATAAGGTGACCTTAAGAATAGCTCGTAATAACATGTTATAGCCAATTAAATTAAGCTAATATTTCTTTACATTGTCAGTATATATATAATTTAACTTCGTTTTCCATTTACTTTTTTTTTTGGTTATAAGAGAGCAATTTATATGATCACATGCACCGAAAATAATTTACGGCAGTGAAGGGAACTTAAGTCATGTACTGTCTAGTTATTAATATCCCTCTTAGAGATATTAAACTATTAGTATTATCTTAGCAATATCAACCAAAATGTTAAAGCACTTATTAGCTTACATAATAGAAATAATTAGTTATACTATATCTAATATCTTATATTTTCATTGTTACAACGGAAACTTTAGTACAACGGGATCCTACTTAATGATGACATTACTCCTTTGGTAACTACACTCGATTCATAAAAAAAAGTATTTTAAACAATATCCATGTCAATTATCTTAAATAATGTCAAACCACACTCGACTAGCTAGACCCCTCTTTATTTATTTTTTTAACTTTAATTTTTGTCTAATTTACTTATATTGATAGATTATTACAATTTACTCATGTACGTGTACTTAATTATGGGTTGATGGTGGATGCAGAGACAAGTGATAAAGACAAAGAGCGTGGAGTTTATGCCATTTTACTTGTCATTTTTCTCTTTTCTTGCTAGCTGCCTTTGGATGGCCTATGGACTCTTGAGCCATGATCTCTTTCTTGCGGTTTGTATATTCTACCTTGAATCTTTTTCTTTTTATTTTTTCATAAATTCAAAGCTATATATAGATGAATATCAACTTCAACCTTCCCATTTCACTATTCTGAAAAAGTCCTCTTCTTTTTTACTCCTTCAGTCTCCAAATCTGGTAGGAACACCCCTGTGTATCCTGCAGCTTATACTGTATTGCAAGTATCGGAAGAATCCGATAAAGGAAAAACCACAAAAATGGCCAGATTTGGAATATAACGAGGAGAAAATCAAGCAAGAATTCCCGTTGGATGAGATAAAAGAATCGAAGCTAATTGTCACTGAGAATCTCAATACCAAGATTTGAAGCGCGAGCTTTTCGTAGTTTACTTAAGGTATACTATACATATTCTCTCATTGTGTGTTGCCATCTATTTTAAGTTATTATATATGACTTTGTTTCGTTCTTGTTATATATTGCTAAGTAATACTCCAGGAGTTTTAGTTACTATTTCATTTTTGGACAAGCAGGTAAAAACTTACTCGATCAAGGAGTTGCTCACCAACGAGGACCAAGAAATATTTGCATTGATTTGTCTGTTGTGTAACTCTTAATTCTCTTGAGGAATAGGACGAATTTATTTTGTTCCTCAAGCTTCTCTTTTCTTTCATTGTTCGTTTTTCATCTTTTTCACTTTTGCTATGAGCTATATAGTTGACCAAGCAATCATGTATTTTACTCTGCTTTATAAAACATAGATTATTCTACAAGATATTATACAAATTATGACCCCTTAAAAGAAATCTGTTTCAAGCCCCTTTCAAACAGGCAGTTGTCAGGCGTTGCAACAGGAACCATAAAGTTAAGTACAAAATCTTAAATTATTTCTTGACTCATCAGTCACGATTAAGGAAAGGACTAATTAATATTTGAAAGATAATCAAATACTACATCCACGATATCCACTACTACTTTTTTTGGTTGGAAAGAAAGAAGGAAAAGAAAAGGGTAATAGTAATTTTCGTTGATATGGGAATCGACTGGGAATGACTAGGACAGAAAGGAAAGAAGAGGTTTCATTAGAGGACAGTTGAGCGGAATTTCAAAAACCATAGAGTTCTTGGTTATGACCTTATTCTTTTTTTTCCCTCTCCCTAAGGCCTAAACTTCATCCATACTTCAAACTTCCAATTCCTCTCCTTTCCTTGTAGTCCCTAATTGTTTTTGGGCGAATGACACAAATAGTGATTCGCTGGCGAATGACACAAATAGTGATTCGCTACGCTTGCCTGCGCCTCAAGTGCTAGATTGCAGATCTTAAGACAGAAGTAATTTGCTCCATGATCGAGAACGAGACTTCCAACAGCCTTGGAAAGTGCTGGAGATCATGAAAAGCATTTCCACTCAAGGAGTTTACCTTAGTTACTGGGGGGTTTCGGGGAGGTCGTTCAAATCACGTCGAATGCGGGAGCTTTCGGAAAAGGGTAGCCTTATGTGTAAGCACAGCAATGAACCGCGGTATCAAAAAATTAATAGTAGCAAGAAAGTATCCTATTTGTGTCATTTGCCCAAAAACAATTAGGGACTAAAAGGAAAGGAGAGGAATTTTAAAGCACGTTGAGCAAGATTTTTCTTAAGCGGCAGAATTTAAAAACATGATGGGCAGGATCTTCCTTAACTGTTATGCTGAATTCTGGTGATCATCAGAATTACTAGTGCTTCAAAGTTCTGGCGCTTAAGGAAAATTCTGTCCAATATGTTTTTAAATACTGACACGTGGCTATTCTCCCAAAATTAACAGGGTCCAAATATAAACAATGGTTTAAAAGAAGTCCATCCAGTGTCTTTTCCCAAGTGTTTTTCATAATCGTCCACAGTTTAACACTTGGTGGATAATGGACTAGTCACTCTACGTTTCTCCACTTAAATACCAGACTCAGTCCCTAAATTTTGTCTCTCGAATTGGTCATTTTCTCTAGATTAATTCAAAAGACCAGCAGATTTATTGGAAACCACAGGTAAAATATGAGTTCCCCAAAAATGCATCAGAATTACCACACAAAAAAAAGTAACAGAAAAACATCAGATTATGCCAGGAAAGTGAATGCAGCTGCAAAAACTAATAGTCGCACTGTTTCTTAGAAAACCCTTGTAAAATATGAAATTTATTCCAAAACAGCATCAGAATTACCAAAAGAGATCAGAAAAGCATCAGAATTTTGCTGGGAAAGTGGACACAGCTCCAGAAGCTAATATTCCTACTATTTCTAAGGAATATGAAATGTATACCACTTTGTAATCAATAATGTCAGAGGATAATGAAAGAATATATACTGAGTACCCGTCAAAATGTTGAAGACTTATGAACAAGAACGACAGTATCTCACAACAAATCAACACCTACCGAACCTGTGCCTTTGAGACATTATGATTTTCGACATGCATTAATCTGGGCAGATGAAGGCCTCATATACAGAGATTAGCCGTATGACTCTTGGACTAATTTTGATCTCAGGCACCCTCCTAGGATGAAGGATCATTCATGTGCCAAAGCCAACCAACACCCATTTGTCTGTCATGAAATTCAATATTGCTATATAGAAAGTGAGGCAAGATTTAGACAATTTTTTTAAAAAAAAACTGGGGGAAAACAGAGTAAAAGCATAGAGAAGTCAAAATGATGAAGCAGCAAGAACACAAATTGAAGAAGTTTACATGATGCTATGGATTCATCGATGCTAATTGCATTTTTTGGACAAAAAACTAATAACATCAATCAAATACCACGGGTGTTCTGCAATATCAATATAATCAGGAAGATTAACTAAGATAGTAACTAGCTTTCCCCATATAATCTTGAAGAAGTGCAATCAAAATTAATTTCAGAATTCACATTTGCTGTTAGATTTTCCAAAGTCGAGTAAATTATATCACAAAAATGATGTGTTCTATCATCTACATAAAAAAATTGAACCTTGTTGTTTAGTTCAATCCAACTATATCCAGGATCCTTCTTATACTGCAGATTTCTCATTGCTTTCCTCGCTCTCATCTTCTCCAACCACCTGCCAAATCCTGCATACATATTGGACATGATAACACAGCCGGACGTAGACTTGGGATCCAATGAGAACAGTTTCTCAGCCACCCTCTCGCCAATTTCCACGTCCATCCAGAACCAACAAGCATTAAGCAGTGCAACAAAGATAATGCTATCTGGTTCAATATGCATTCCGTTAACAAGCTTCTCAGCTTCATGTAGATGGCCTGATCTACCAAGAAGATCTACCAAGCACGTGTAGTGTTCCAGGGTGGGTGTTATACCATATTGTTCTTGCATAACGTGGAAAAGTCTTGTGCCCTCCCCCACCAAACCTACACGAGTACAAGCCAATAAGACACCCACAAAAGTTGCTGCATTTGGATCAATTCCTTCGTCTAACATTTGGTGAAAACGTTTAAGCGCCTCAGAGCCAAGCCCATGATGTGCATACCCATTAATCAGAGCTGTCCATGCTGCGACATTAGGAAAAGCAATGCTGTGAAACGATGCTTGAGCATCACCAAGGCTCCCACATTTGGAATACATGTCAACAAGAGCTGTTCCAACATAGTTTTTGGATCCGAATGGAGTTTTAATCAAATCTGCGTGAATCAATTTACCTTGCTGAAGTGATCCAAGGCAGGAGCAAGCGTGAAACAGGACAGCAAATGTTGACCTAGTTTGGCTAATTGCTAACCTTCTCATGGTCGTATACAACTTTAACGCACTCTCATGTTGATCATTTTGGGTATATCCTGAAATCATAGAATTCCAAGTAACAGAATTTTCCTGTACTTTGACTTCTTCAAAAAGCTCTGCAGCTTTGCCGATTCCACCATTCCTTGAGTACACAGTAATCATGGTATTGAAGGAAATTAAAGTTCTTTCCGGCATCTCCAAAAACAACTGTTTTGACTCCTCCACTAGGCCAGACATGGCATATCCTTTGATCATCAAACTGTATGAAGCAGGATCCCCCTTGATCAATCCATTAAACAGTGATCTAGCTTCCCCAATCCTGCCTGCCTTGATTAGCCCTCCAATCAGCAAGTTTGAATCATTTAAGGAAGGATTAACTAGTGCACTATAAACCAACATAGCATCATCAAGAACCTCACAGTTACAATAAAAATCAACCAATGCACCAGAAACTGAATTATCCCACTCAAACCCAAGCTTCACTACCAACCCATGAAGTGCTCTACCCTCATATAAAGATCCCAATCTACCGGAAGCCCTCAAAACACAGTCCAACGTGAATTCATTCGGGACCACGTTATCATCCTCTCTCATTGACCTAAACAACTCTAAAGCCTTGTGACATCCACCTTCGACCTTTGAGTATCCAGAAATCAAAGTGGTCCAAGCAACAACATCACGGGTCGGCATTTTCCTAAATATCTCCAAAGCATCAGTTAGCAGGTTACATTGAACATATCCCGCAAGCATCAAGCTCCATAACAACTCATTCACCTGATGCAACACATCAAATAACATCCTCGCATCTTCAATTTCACAACAAGTGGAGTAAAGATACAACAAAGCACTACCCACAAAACGAAAACTTTGATATCCAGATTTCAAGACTAGCCCATGGACTTGCTTACCACGACTGAGCGACTGTGATCGAGCACAAACACTTAGCACTGAGGAAAACGTAGACTCATTTAGCTCCATATAGCTGCCGTGCATCAAAGAAACTAAGTTTAACGCTTCGGTGAACTTACCCCATTTGGAATAACCAGCAATCGTGGTATTCCATGAGACAACGGTTCTGTCAGGCATTTCGTCGAACAGCTTTCGAGCTTGTTCAATTGAACCCTCTTTCATTAGCCCTGTTATGGCTTTGTTAGTGGAGACAACGACGTCGGACTTCGACGGACGAGCATTATTTCTGTAGTAGCATATGTTCGAAAAAAATCTCAGACTCCATTTCCAGCGGTGATGCTTCCAGGTACCCGTAAATAATGGCCTTATAATCATTTCTTTATTTTTACTATCCCGTCAAAGCAAACGGATCAGGCGACTGTAAAAATAAATTTCAAGATGGTCGCAATCTACGAGTTCTGGTCCGACTGATACAGTTTCTCCTCCGTAAAAACTCATGCAGACACATGACTTTGGTCTTTTGGGGGAGTCAATAAATAAGGTTAATGCTCAACTTATATACTAACATAGTTGTAGTAGTTCAATCATCAATTTATTTTTTCTAACCATAAAATAACACAAGTTTATTTTGACAAATAGCCATTTTAACTGTTGATTAAAAACCAGCCATTATTTTAAAATTAATCAGAATTAAATCACTCTTTAATAAGTAAATAATATTTGAACAATAATATCCCTCCACGTATCGTTGGCGCACAACGATTTTTTTATAAAAGCGTCTCCTCTTCTTCTTTTCTCCTTCTCAAACTCCAAGATATAAGAGTTTCATGTGTCTAGCTAGGACGACAGTGTTTTGAAGTTTAAACTTCTATAAGTGAACTTTAGGATACTTCAATTTGCAATTCAAAATTTCAAGAAAATGTCATGTCATCATAATGATATTATGCATATTTTACGATATTTTAATATCGGCTTACCCGTATTTCATTATAAACTTGAGGCATAATAGTGAACTTCAAGATACTGTCCTATAGACATAATGATATTAGGCATATTTTATGATATTTTAATATCAAATTGCTGTTATTTATACCTCTTTTATTGTATTTTTGAGTG